TCGCCTTGCCTACCCTGTGAGTAGGCGGGACACGCAAGCGCATGTCAAAAACTTCCGTCAGTTCATGGGCCTTCGGGCCACTGATTCGCCGCCAACATGTCTAGTAAAAATGGATGCAGCAGGAGAGCTCGAAGGAGCGGCCCACGAAGTCGGTCTCGTCCCCGAGACAAGCTTACCGAACAGGTGGCCACACAACACCGTTCTGGAGCGCGACATTCGCGAAGAGAAGGAATGCTGCCGCAGCATCCACTTGCAATCAGGGTTGCCCTATTCGTTGCATACGTTTAGTTACCCATTTGCATGTCTCTCCATGTCGTTTGACAGGCCTGCTCCATTCAGCCCGGGAAAAACCCAATGGGAAGCCCTCACCAAGGAAAAGTTCCAAGGTAAGAGATGCTGTTTCGGGCAACTGGTTTGGTACAGAACCAAGACTCCTGGCAAGCGCACTCTCGATCCGAACATGGCGCCAGCGCTCTTTTTGGGTTGGAGGATCGATCCGGGGTTGCGGTACCGTAACGTGGTCAAAGTCATGGACTATGAAGCCTTCCGCAAAGATGGTTCCATTTCCGTTCACGATGTTCCCGAACCGGAATTGTTCGTTGAGGACGGACCCCCAAGCTTCCCGATTGCAGCAGCAGCAGATAGAGCATTGCATGGTGGCAAGACAGAAGGGTCTGATCCCCCACCTTTGCCCCTGCGAGAGGCGCCCTTTGGTGCTCCACCGACTCCATCCGCTGTCAAGTCAAAATCCGTGTACATAACTGTTGAGAGGATCATCAAGTTCAAGGAAACGCCAGGTTGCCGTGCATGCACCGGTCATTCCAAGATTCACAGTGCCGAATGCAAGAAGAGGTTCTCCGAACTTGTTTCTGCAGATCGAGCTGAAGCAGCTGCAAAAAGCGCTGCCAAAACTGAATCTAAGGAACCCATTCCCATTGTTCATACTGAAGGGGATGAGGAGCTAGCCAGAGCAATCCACGCATCCGAGCATGAGGAAGATCCTAAGACCGCAGTTAGTGCAGAAGATGTTGCGCATGAATTTGATGCAGCCGAAGCTGGGGAGCCCGCTCCCTCAAGACCCGGTGCCTCATTTTTCGATACCGCGCCAGCGACAGCCGCTACATCGCAAGGTGAAGATTTTTGGGTGTTCAATTAAAATGCCAATTGTTTGGTTCGGTACCATATCATGCCAAGGCAGAATCTTTTTACCCCAAAAGAGGTCCAGGATTGCCCCGTTTCCCCAGAAAGATTTACTGCAGCTCGCACCACTCGTGCCGTGTTTCAGGGGGGCAAAGCAGACAACATACACGATGGCTGGTTTGGTAGCCGACCCAATCGCTCACTTGGAGATGCATGGACCGGGTTCACAGTGTTCAAGTTAAAACCCATTCAGTCCGATTGTGTTATTACCACAGGTGCAGCCGTGATGTTAGACTCCGTACCGCCGACACCTCTCACCGATGCATCAAAGAACGGTCGTCCGAACACATTGCCAATCTTTGGCATGCCGTGCAGCGCAGAGGTTGAAGCTTCACAGCCCAAGCAGTTTGAGGTAGGAAATCATCGCGCCCGCAAGAGACAGGCACGAATTGACAAGTTGCCTGTAATGTTCGAATACGCTTGTTCACCAGAGTCCAATATGGGTCGCGTGTTTGAAGGTCTTGGCATACCTCATGTTAGGCTGGCTAAAGAGTTTATCGACCTCAGCACAGATAGAGAAGAAATCCAGTTGCAGTCGCAGATTGAAGGTTGTGATAAACCCAATCTCTGGGCCGCAATTCCCTGTACATCAGGTTCAGCATGGCAACGCCTTAATAAGGCCAAGTTAGGAAGCCAGTTCAAAAAGAAACTGAAGCAAAAGGTTAAAGAGTCAAGAGAGTTGTTCTCCAGATTCAGACGTCACGCAGAGACTGTCCTCCATCAGGGGGGTAGTGTTTCGTTTGAGTGGCCAAGGGATTGCGACAGCTGGGCTAGGGATGATGTTTCTGCATTCTTTAGGGAATACGCACACGTCTTCACCCCAGCGACCTTCCACGGTTGCGCCCTAGGTCTGAAGGACAGCAATGGTTATCCCATCAAGAAGCCATGGAAAGTCATGACCAGCAATAGCACACTCGCATCCGCACTAGGTGCATTCAAGTGTCCGCACGAAAAAGGGTATAAACATTCGCTTGCAGCAGGTAACAAGACCGCAAAGACCGCTTTCTACCCCGAAGGCATGTGTCTCACAGTTGCCCGCGCGCTGTATCCGACAGTTCAACCCGTTGTGCCTGCGATGCCTGTCCAAGTGCCATTGCCTCTCGATCACCGGGAACGTGAACAGCAGTTGAAACACATATCCCCTCTCTCTGGTTTGGAAGATATAGGTCTTGCTGTTGAGTCCGATGAAAAGTGTCACGACATCCTTGAGCAAGTTCTTGATGTTGAAAATCTCATCGCACATTCCCTAGGACAAGTCAAAGAGAAGAAGGATCCTGAAATCACCGCAATGGTGACCAGACTCTTGTCACGTGCCGAAATGTTGGCTTCCCCGGAAGCCCTTGAAGCCGTTCGACTTGAAGCCACAGGCCTGGAGAAAGCCGGTGCTTGGGATCTAAATTCAGTCCGAGAATATGATCAAGTCGCTGCTGAGGCGCGACGATCCAGTATAAAAGTTCATTTCGGGCAGTTGATGTCGCTAGCATCCGTCAAGTTCGCCGAACTCGCGAAACACCTTCAGAAGATGAAAGGTAGGATTGTGTATCGCGGAGACTGTGCGAAAGACGAACATGGCGCAGCAGCTGTATACCAAGAGTTGGGAGCAAATCCCACGAGCGTACAAGGTCTTAATAACTGTCTCGCTTATGGATCCCTGCCAGGGAATTCCACCACAACAGCGGACGCTATAAAGGCTTATGTGCAAGCACTGCTGAAGTCCAAGTACCAAACTTGGATCACACTCCCGCCTGAGCTCCGGCCAAGGTGGTGGCGCGAGCGTTTCGTGAAACCTGTGGTTTTGCTCGTTAAAGCTCTTTATGGGCATCCTGACGCTGGCGGACTCTGGGAGGCACACCTCAAAGGGTTCATTAGTGAACTTGGAGGGCGTGAGGTCGCAGAGTTTCCTGGAAACTTCTGGTTCAAGGAGTCCGGGTTACTTCTCTCGACATACGTCGACGACTTGACGTTGGCCGGCCCCAGCCACCTTCATAAAGACTTCTGGGAAAAGTTAACAAGACTGGTTGATATAGAACCCCCAGAAGACATATACCGGGTGCTAGGCAGGAATCACCTTTTGATAGATGCTCCAAAGGACCCAACTGAACCCGATCTTAATGCCGCAATGGGCAGATTGAAAGGGGGCATGGCGTTCGACATGCGGGATTATGCCCGTCAAACGGTTGCATTATATCTTGAGGTTGCACAGCTAAAAACTGAAAAGTTGCGTGATGCCACCACTCCATTCTGTCCCGCTGGATCTCTTGATCCTGCAGATGACGCCTTGGAGGGTGAGCTCGGCTTCGCCGCTTGCCGCGTGTTAATGAAAGCCTTGTGGCTCGGCCGTTTGGCACGCCCAGACCTGGTCAAGCCCATTGGCGACCTTGCCTCATTTGTTCAGAAATGGTCTAGAAACTGCGATAAGCAGCTACATAGGCTTGTCTGCTACATAAACAGCACGGTCAACAGCACGCTAGTTGGCACAGTTCAGGATTCGACTGATGAGTTGCATCTGGCTCTCTATGTGGACGCCGATTTCGCTGGAGAACGAGACGCAAAATCAACGTCCGGAGGATTCTTGACTTTGAGTGGTCCGCATACGCATTTCCCCCTTGCATGGGTGTCTAAGAGGCAGACCTCGGTCTCCCGATCGACAACCGAGGCGGAGATCGTATCCCTCGCGTACTCCCTTTATCAGGAGGCGCTCCCTGCGCTCAGCTTATGGGAGCTGATCTTGGACCGACCATTCCATCTCAAGATCCACGAGGACAACCAGGCGACTATCCTCGTAGCAAAGAAAGGATTCTCATCCAAGCTACGCTGTGTCCAGCGCACCCACAAGGTGAACCTCGCGTGCATCGCTGAACAGCTGGAAAGCGAACACATCTCGATAGAATACGTCCAAACCGACATGCAGTCAGCAGACATCTTCACGAAAGCTCTTCCACCCAACAAGTGGGACCATGCCATCCGGTTGCTCGGCATTCGTGTTGACCTTCCAGAGAAGCTTGAAGACGTTCGTGAAAGTAGAGCCGCTAAAGCAGCTGCCTAGTGCGCTGCAGCATGTCCGCAAAATTTCCAAAAGTGTGCAAAGTGCCTGGGTGACGCTTGAATAACTTGCGTCAGTCGTTGTGATGTAAACTTGACTTCAAGTTGGCGTGGTAATGCGCCCAAGACACTCCCTCAGTGCCGTCAATGAGGGGGGAGTCAATTATCACGATGACATTTATGGCCCAGAGGTACATGAGGTAGGTTCTCATGTAGTCAGTTGCATGTTGTACATTCAAGTCAATGTTCAAAGCCTGAGCATGATCTAATCACTGCTTTGGCTCAAGTGCTGAAAACAGCGCGTTGCACGCGCTAACCCCAAGGTTAAGGGAGAGGTCGCAGTCACGGAGGGGTTCGTTCCTTTTAAGGTCCCGAGTTCCCCCGTTGTTGACAAAACTGTGTTTCCCTCTCCTTTGAGTAAATGAGCTCCCATCATGAAGCTTCCTTGAATCTCTCACCGCTCTCCCTTGCAGTTGGGACCCGCCAAGGGTCCGATTCAGTCGGCTGCTGGCTTGATCTTCCCTTGGGACGGGTTTGTCCCCATTTGTGCTCCGAAGGATGTCAGGGAGTATGGTTCTGGATTGGATTCAGGAAACCTCTCAAAAGTGGGAGTGACCACTTCATCCTCACCTAAGTTGGAGGTGGATTCCTTTATCCACCTATAAATGTCCACCAAGAAGTCCCAATGAAGATTCATACCCATAGCAGGTTGGCCAACCTGGCGTTCCCGCGCCAATTTCCCCCCGCCCGCGGTGCAGGCGGGCCTTGCCCTCAGGACGGTTCCGGGTTGTCCCCGGGCGCGTGGGGTGGCCTTCACAATCAGGCCCATCTGACGAAGTGAGATGCATGGCTGGACCCCCTTCAAAGATGGAACGGGCTTCCAAATGTATGTTGAAGCTGCCACTTCAGCGGGACGCACGTTTTGACTTGCCTAGGTTAGGGGATACGGGATGATGTGGGTATGTCCTTTCCCCGGTTGAAGGATTGGCGCTTACCGGGATGAAGGACAGGCAGCGTTTGGGGCGAGATGTGTGAGGATCACTTGCCAGGAGCGCGCGATGTAGCGCGCCCCGCTTTCCCCAGGCACGGTTGGGCCGGCCGAAACTGGAGTTGGGTCATTGGACACTTTTCCGACGGGTCATTGGCGCCCCCGGGAGCCAAAGCCAAGCGGAGAAAGCCATCCGTGCTGCACAACTCGTGGTGGGCCATGGCTCGCGCGATGTATTCGGATTTCTGGGATTCAGGGATCCAGGGATTGATGCTTTGCTGGTGCCTGTGGCGATCTTTGAATCGCCACGTTTTTTTTCTTTCTTCTTCTTCTTCTTCTTCTTCTGCTTTTTTCCCCCACGCCAGGGCGAACCCCGGCGGCGAGGCGGAGAAGATGAGGATCGCAAGATATGAGAAGGAGGCATGTCATCCGGGGCTGGGCAAACCGTGACAGACGTTGAACGGGGGGGTGGTTGGGTGCTCTCAGGAACCCAGCAGAGCGAGCGAACAGGCTTCAGTCTCTGCTAAATCCGAAGTGCAAGCTTTTGGACTTTGCTCAAGTCTTCTTTGGTTGTTTTTCTTTGTTTGATGGCTGGAAAGCTGACTGCCACTTGCACATATGGCAGCACGCGCACATACTGCCGTCATTAGACGATTAAGCTGCTTTCTCTTGTAGCGGATTCTGTTTGCGTGCGACAAAGGGTAGTTTGGAATATGTAGCCACTGCAGGGAAGATAGCTCCGGCTTGTCAATACGTATGCGCATGTTACGAATTTCTGGTTGCATACATGCATCTTTTGTTCATGTGTTTTTTGGCCCACGTGGCGCTGCATCGTGGGCCATCCTCGCCAGGAGGAGGCGATGGCCGTGTGCCCTGGCGCAGCTTGGGGAGGGAGCGGACGGTACTGCACGGCAGCCATGCGATCCATGGGGCTAGGTGGTTGGAGCCTGCAAACCCGTCAATGGGGATTTTCCGACCGGCTGTGGTTTGCAGCCTCGTCTGGCTATACCTGCCGGACTGATGGCAGTACAAAGTTTTGTTGTAGTCGCGGTTGTTGGTTTTGTTTGTGGTTGCAGCTTTGGTTGTTGGTTGTGGTGGTTGTGGTTGTTGTGAGCGTGGTTGTCGTGAGTGTGGTTGTTGCTTGTGGCTGCTGGCAGTTGGTTTGTGATTGTGATTGTTGGTAGTTGCGGCTGTTGGCTTCCTTTGTGGTCGGTATTTTTGGTGGTCTGACCGCGGCTGGGGTGACGGCCAATTGTTCCCGAGCCTTCCGCCTGGCGCAGCTGCCTGCTTGCCCGAGGGTGAAGAAAGCGGAGGAGGAAGCGAAGGACGCGAATCAGGTTTCGAGAGGTGAAGACCAGTTTATGAAGCAGTTTCAAAGGGGGCCCTGAGTTGGGATGCGAACGTGCTCTTTTGCTTGGGACCGGTGGGTGATTTAACTCATGCAAGCGCAGGTTGGCGCGTTGCGCCGCGGGGCGTGGAAGGGCCACGGTTTTGAGGAGCACCCAAGGTGCCACAGCGCCACAGTCAGTTGGTCTTCCTTTTTTTTTTAAACAAAAAATATATACTTTTTAGTTTTTGTTTTCAAGTGATTTCTGTTGCAGGGCGATGGGAAATCCCAGCTTTTTCCCCAGGTAAAGGGTCCGCGATCGTTCTTTTTTGCAGACGCGGGCCGTTTTTTTTTCCTTTCCGGGAGGAAGATTGTTGGGCCGAATGACTTTTGCCCGTACGTTCCTGTTCCAGGACCCCGACGGCACCTCAGAGGAAAAGACCAAGGCCTACGGCGTGCGGGCCTCGGAAGGCATGAGTCTTTGTGGAGCTCGCTAGGTCCGAAGTGGGATCCCTGAGTCATCACTTCCCTTTCTCCCCCCTCCCGAAACGCAAGAAAAAGAGACGGATTTCGGTAAGTAGCTTGGCCTTGCCCAAAGGTTTCGGGTCTGTTTACATGGCTCCACCTCCAGCATGTGTATATTTTTGCAGCGGGTGATGGACTGAACCAGCTTTGGCCAAGATCCTGTTCGCCTACGCGCTTGCCTTCATGCTCCTTGGGAGAACGTTGGCGAAAGCCGCGGAAAGTCTGGCTTTGGACTCGGGGAGATGCAGGTAGACCTCTTGTTGTTGCCTAGTGGGCCTTTGTCAATTTGGCCTTTGTCTTGGGGGGCGGGGAAGGCCCTTTAAAAAATAAATAAAAATGGAGGTGCCAAGCACTTTTGTGGGGGGGGGGGTGTTATTTTTTTATGCTTGCTTTTTTTGCCTCGGCGGCGGGGTACCCTTGCATAGGAGTTGGTTATTTTCCATTTTTTGCACTCGCTTGGGGGTGGTTGCTGTTTTTCGGTGGTTGTTGCTATTTTCGGGCGGGCTGTCGGGGTTGTTACCATTCCTTTTGGGTTGATCTACTTCCGGATGACTGAGGCAGCATAATAAGGAGTGCCAGGTGGATGATAAGAACCAGACCAAACGAGGATCTAAGTCGATTGCGCCAAAGCCCGTGTGGAGTCTCCCCCTCCACCCCATCGAGCGGGGTGGGGTGAGACGCGCTTGGAACACCGAAATGGCGCAAAGGCCACCGAAATGATTCGGAAGCCCCGAGTATTGAAAGGGCCTCATGCTTGTCCGGTTCTCAAATGCCCTGTGGAAGTGGACACCCAAGTTTTGGATCCCATGCGCCCAAGTACCCAACCCATCTAGATCAGTGCCCAACAAAACGCTCGGCTCTCAGCATCCCCTTCGGCTTCTTCGCGGTGGTGCTGCTGGGCATTTGGACCCCCGGCACCGAGATCGACCGGGGTGCTCCTCGGAGAAAAAGAAAAAAACACCGAAGCCGCGAGGTTGGCGTTTCCCGGGTGCAAAGGAACTTTTGGACATCATTCAGGGGAAGCAAGTAGGCCAATCGCTGTTGAGGTCCCTTATTTAAGAAGAATAGCTATTTTGCACATCTTCTTGGTTAGGGTACGGCCACTTTCGGGGCTCAGTCTGGAAGAGGGAAACGATTGGATGTGGGGGTGTGCTCGAAACGTGCCACGTGGAGGGTTGGGGTTTGAGGGGGGGTTCTTTGCATTTTTTCTGCCGAGCACGTGCCGTCTGGGAATCCTGGAAGCATGCTGGTAGCATTTGGCGGCTGATTGTTTGCACAGCGCCCGTGCCCAGATCTCCAAAAACTCCCCGAACTACAGCATGGGCGCCATCTCGCGCTACGACGACGAGATGGACAAGCTGAGGCGCGTGAGTGACACGGGAAGGGTTGCACTCAACGGGCAACGAGGCAGAGTTCCGAAGTGAGCCCGACGATGGATGTAAGGATATGCCCAGGAGTAAGGTGGAGCTCCGACGATCTCGCTTTCAGGGTCCCCGCTTCGGGCATTTTCGGGTCGACCTTTTGTGTTTTGGACATTTTCGGCGGGCAGTCGCCCTGCTAAAGTAAGTGCAAGCGCTCTTTTCCGAAGATAAGCGAAAACGCTGCGAGGCCGCAAATGGCTTCGCCTCTCAATGGACAACCCCGTGCATGTGTGATGAGTAAAGTATGGAGTGCGTTGGGCTCCAGTTGGTTTCCGTGATTCGCGTTTGCAAAGAAAAGATGTGCTGACATACTCGCCCCGCATTCCCCACTCGCCATTTTGCAGGAAGCAGCTAAAAAATCAGGGGCCGAAGGAGTACTGAGGGTCGTTACCTCGTTGGTGCGACCAGAAGCTGTGTGGAGGAGAAGCCGAAAAAGTGAGCAGAAAGCAAGCCTCTTGCAAGGATTTTGCAACCAGGGACAGTTTTGCTTTTATCGCCTGTCAGCGTGGACCGGCCAGTCAGAGTCAGAAGGGGAAGCAGAGGGAACACTGGCCCAATTACAGTAGATGCCTGGTCCACAGTACTTGTTTGTTCTCAGAACATGTGGGTGGGTGTGCCCTGAAACCGGTCCGTCATTTGTTTCCCGGCATCACGAAGCGCGTAATGCCACAAACTCAGCGAGCATGAAATACGCCCACAAGAAGAAACAGACCGAATGGCCATGAAGCTACTGGAGCTTTCTGGAACATGCCAGGCTGAGCGGTGTCTCTCTCTCGCTCTCTCTCTCTCTCTCTCTCTCTCTCTCTCTCTCTCTCTCTCTCTCGCTCTCTTGTGCTGTGACACGCCCAAGCAAGTTGCGCTGGGTGTCCTCTTCACATGTGGCAGTCCAGTGTTGTGCGGTTCGTCCCTCCCCAGCTCTGATGAGCTTTGCAATTGAAGACCAAAAGCAAGCACTGCCGCGGGATTTTCGGCCGAAGCTCGGAAGGCATTGCCACGTATGCGACCAGAGACACCAATCAGGCTTCACGGACCCCTCACACAGGATGGGGTGGCCTTTTGTTTTTCCTGTTTCCTTTGAAGAAAGCAAACGCACGGGCGTCGGGCCTGCCCCCTTGTCTGAGAGTGACTAGCCCTTGTTCATACACCAACCCACACTCTACGATGGCCACATTCCACTTTTGGGGGGTATGAGGAGCCACAAGCCTTGTGTCGGTTTGCCCAAGGGCTGCGTATGCAGTAGCGGCCCCAAGGACCCCCCCCCACCCCACATGCACACATACAAGCTTCATACGCGCCCCAGAGATTTCGGGGGTAGATTCCTCATGGCGCTCTGCTTCTGCGGGGCCCATGCCACAGAGCTTTGCCCCAAGTGCGGGGCGCAGTGCTTCTGCGCCGCCTGCGCCGCCTGCGGAGCAGGAACGGGCCCGCGCGAGGCCCGCGCGGCGCATCAGGCGCGGAGCCGGGAGGATAAAATCAGGTCTTGCTTTGAGGGCGCCGCTTTGTGGGCGGTTTGAAAGGGAAGCCAAAAAAAGAGAAAACAAAGCACACACACACACACATCAGCTTGGGGGCCCCCTCACCTTTGTCTTGCCGATTTTAGGCAGGTGCACGCCCAATGAAGTTGATTTCAACTCAATATTTCTCCTTGTTCGCAACCCAGAAAAGTTTACAGCCCTTTGATTTCCCTTTAGCCCCTTCATTTCACACCCATACCATTTCCCTTTGGTTTCCATAAAGGCGGAACGCCCTGGACGAGTTTGCCGCACCCTGTCCTCTCCTTTCCTCTCCAGGCGCAGTGCCGCCGCACCCGGCGGGAAGCCAAAAACCGCGTGCAGGGCCTGGTCTTCGGCAGCCTCTTGCACCTTAGCAACGCGAGGAACCGGCGCCTGTAGGGTTCCACTTTTTCACCCCAGGTTTTAGACCCAGGGGTTCTCCTTTTGGAATGAGCCCCCTGGTTCAAGCCTGCCGTGTAGTCCAAAAGTGGAGCACTGAATGGAAGTTGATGGTCTGCCAAAAGGCAGAGCCAGTTTTGGAAATTGCCCATGGTTCAGCCAGAAGGTGTATTGAGAAATCATTTGCAGATCAGAAGCAAAAAGAAACCAGAGATGGGGTGTCTTTTGACAAAGGGTGGTCTGAGTTGGACTATTCCAAGGCTTTTGGAGCGCAGAGCTGTTTCTTGGGGGCAATGTTGATGCGTGTGTGCTTCTTCCGAACAGTGCTAGGCAAGGGGTTGTGGCTGTGAAGAAGAAAGCCGCCGTTGACTTCGAATAAACACGTCAGGTTTAACTGGTGGCACTTCTTCTGTGGGCCAAGGCGAAAGATGTAGGAGCCTCCCCTGAAAGTGTGTCTTAGAACCAGAAGCAGGTTCTTATAAAGGGAACGTTTGAGTTCCTAGACTTTCTTCAAAAACTAACGAATGGTTACTAATAATTTATTCCTATCATTATGAATACATTTGGGTTGACCCGGCGACCGTTTCTTTTCTCCTTAAGGCTCTTACATTATTTTGATCCAGCCGGATCCGCAGCGTTTCAGGGGTTGCTGTTGGGGATGCCACCTGGTTGGCTATGTTTGGTCTTTCTCCACTGGCGGTTCCGCCTTGGAGCAAGGCTCCAGCTGTGCGGATTCTGCCGGCGTTTGGGCCGCTTCCCTGCGTGGCAGCGCTTCTTCCTGCCACTCGATTGGTGATTGGAATTGGGCGGTTTGGTTTGTTGCCAGGCTGCAAGGGAGGGGTGGGGGGTGGGGTTGCACATGTAGAGGGCGGGGTAAATGGGCAGAAGCGATCCGATGTTGTGCCATTTCAAGCTGAGTGTGTGTTGGTGAGCTCGTGCTGCCAGGGTGCGCAGAGGGAGATGGTTTGGGCGCTCCAACATGCAATTTCCCTGGGGCGGTCGAGCTTCACAACGGAAAGCAGCGAGATGCCACGATCAGGTTTCATTTGGCCCCAATGGGCGATCCAACAAAGTTGACCATGTTTTGAGCCTTCGACCGCCCGTAACACGCAGGTGGTGTGCTGCTTGGCTCATGCTGCTCGAGCTTCTCACCTCCCTGAGGCGGGAGGTGGCTGGCTCATGGGCTCAAGTCACAAGTCAGACGCGAAAAGGGGTATGGAAAAGACACCTTCCCCTACCTGCGTCCGTGTGTCGTGTGGACCGTGGAAGTGCACGGGCCAAGCCTTTCCTTCTCCTTTCGCCTCTAAGAAATCTCTACAAGAGTAAGGTGTTGAGACAAGACGAAAGGACAGCGTTGACATGAAAGAAGATAGAAAAGGTTTGGTATGAAACCACACGATCAGATAATAAGAGAAGAGACATGATCTCCACCTCCATTTTTTTGATTCACTCATTCCTTTCTATGTGAGACGGAGCGAAGATTCTGGATTACACATTCCACTTGCAGTCGGCCCAAGTTCCGCGCTCGTTATAGTGCTTACTATGACCATACGCATTCCCAACCTCACCCAACCCTTCCTCTTCCCCTCGGCACCCCAACACCTACCCTGCGCAGGTTTGAGATGTGGCAGTCTGGGAAGGCCGGCAGACGAGACAGATGGCAGGAGGCTCTTCAAGTCTTCTGGCTATTTTGCAGCCCCGCGGATAGGTTTGAACACGCCCATGCCATACGTACTTGCAAACCTGAGCTGCCACTTGAAGTGCGAGCCGCTTTGAGACAGCCAGGGCTTGCCCGCCTGTATCAAACCCCAACAGAGTCGGACCTGGAAGGCCACTGGGGACCCTACCCCAGCATTCAGCTCGGGCTTCATCCATCCCACCTGGTGTGAAGTGGAATTCGTCCATCAGGGTTGGTCAAACAAAATGGGGTTGTATGCCGAGCTCCAGCACGCACAAAGACCCTCGATTGGAAACAGAACAAGTCAATCATTGTAAGTGACTTGAGCGTTTTCTCAGACAGGCTCCTGCAAAAAGCAGGTTTCCTGACGGAAATCTTTTTCTGGAGTGGCTGCCATCCAAGAGGCATCTCCATGTTTAGGAGATTCACCCTCTGTTTCTGACCGTGCCGTGCAGGTGGGCTGGCTCTTGCCAGAGAAAGTGCCGGAGGCGCGGCTGGAAAAGTGGGGCGATCTGGGGTTCCGATGTGCCCTGCAAGGACCCAACTTGGTGTAGAATACCAATAGTGTGCTTGTTGATATGAAGGTGCTATATATATATATATATGTGTGTGTGTGTGTGTGCGCAACGTAGCTTGTCTGCAGGGTTTACGCAAGCACAGCGCAGGCATGACACATTATCTATAGGTATATACATATATTAAAATATGAATACGTAACGCGAGGGTCCCTTGGCCGATGTTGCCAGTTGCGTCCACGAGGGATCTTGCAGTCCAGTTTGACAAAAGTATGGGTTTCAATTAGGTAGAGCCTGCACAATGATTCAGGTGCTGGCAGACCGTTGCGAGTCCGAGTCTAATGGTTAAATCTGGCCACCTGCATTGGGCAACCAAACGCATGTCTGTGCCGGGGCTTGTGCAAGTGCTCCCTGAAATGAAATTCTTCTGCACGCCCACGCGCATGCTATACCCCAAGCTTGGTGCAGGAAATGCTGGCCTCGTCTTTTCTGGCCACTCGCAACAGCGCCACTCGGGCGCCCGAAGCGCAGGACTGTCATTGTTGCTGCCCTTTGCCGCAGGCATCCACGCATGCGCGAACGCACGGTGTGTAAAGGCATGCGGGTTGGTGCCAGCATGGCCTTTATGCCAGGAAGTACTGGCCACGTTGCCGCCTGTGCGCGGTGGTGATGCTGCAAAGACCAGCACGCCTGAAGCAAAGGCAGGACTGCGTACACCCAGCGTGTGTCTGAGGAGTTTTGCGGTGCACTTGGTGGGGTCGTTTCGAAAAGGGGTCAGGCAGAGACAGGCGGACAGAGATGTGAGTGGAGGTAAGTGCGCCTAAAGAGGAAGTAGAAGGGACAAGGCCTGTGCGAGAATATTGACCACGTCCGCATCGCTTCCCTGGACAGGTGTCACGGCATGTTATTGCTTTGTTATGTTCTGTTTCGGCAAGCTGTCCACAATTGCAGTAGGGACGGCTAGCATGTCCATGGGCAAAGTTCAAGCCTGACAGCCTTGTTGCGAGGAAGTGCTGGCCACGTCTCCGCTGCCTGTTGGAAACGATGACGCTGCAACGACCAGCGCACCCATAGGGCAGCAGGACTGAGTACTCTGCATCCTGAGTGTTTCCCGGAGTTGTGCAGTGCACTTGGTAGGGTCGTTTCGAAAAGGCTGAAGCGGAGATAGGCGGACAGAGACATGAGTGGTAGCAAGGTCTGTGTGAGAATATTGGCCACGTCCGCATCGCTTCCCCGAACAGGTGTCACGGCATGGTATTGCTTTGTTACTGTCTGGATTTGTGTTTTCCGCAAGCTGTACCCAATTGCAGCAAGGACGGCCATGCATGCCAGAGCAGGCGGAAAGAACTCTCTAGCACCAAGCCTGACAGCGTTTCTGCGAGGAAGTCCTGGCCACGTCTCCGCTGCCTGTTGAAAACGATGAGGCTGCAATGACCAGCACGCCCATAGTGCAGCAGGACTGAGTACTCTGCATAATACTGAGTTTTTGCATAAGCGGTGCAGTTCACCTTGTAGAGTCGTTTCGAAAAGGGTGAGGCGGAGACAGGCGGACAGAGAGATGAGTGGTAGCAAGGCCTGTGTGAGAATGTTGACAACGTTCGTATCGCTTCCCTGAACTGGTGTCACGGCTTTGTTACATTCTGTTTAGGCAAGCTGTCCTCAATTGCAGTAATTAGGGACGGCAAGCATGTCCATGGGCAAAATCCAAGTCTGACAGTCTTTTTGTGAGGAAGTCCTGGCCACGTCTCTGCTGCCCGTTAGAAACGATGACGCTGCAACGAACAGCGCGCCCATAGTGCAGCAGGACAGAGTACCCTGCATCCTGATATGTTTTTTCTTTTTTTAAATAGTTGTGCAGTTCACTTTGTAGAGTCGTTTCGAAAAGGGCGAGACAGGAGGACAGAGACGTGAGTGGATGTAAGCGAGGCTGAAGAGGAAGTAGAATGGACATTTCCTAGCAAGGCCTCTGTCAGAATATTGACCGAGTCCGCATCGCGCCCCCGAACAGGTGTCACGGCATGTGATTGCTTTGTTAGTTTCTGGTACTGTTTAGGCAAACTGTGCACGATTGCAGTAGGGACGGCCAGCATGTCCATGGGCAAAATTCAAGCCTGACAGTCTTTTTGTGAGGAAGTCCTGGCCACGTCTCTGCTGCCCGTTAGAAGCGATGACGCTGCAACGAACAGCGCGCCCATAGTGCAGCAGGACAGAGTACTCTGCATCCTGAGTTTTTTTTCTTCTTCGTTTAATGAGTTGTGCAGTTCACTTTGTAGAGTCGTTTCGACAAGGGTGAGACAGGAGGACAGAGACGTGAGTGGATGTAAGCGAGGCTGAAGAGGAAGTAGAATGGACATTTCCTAGCAAGGCCTCTGTCAGAATATTGACCGAGTCCGCATCGCGTCCCCGAACAGGTGTCACGGCATGTTATTGCTTTGTTACTTTCCGGTTCTGTTTAGGCAAACTGTGCGCGATTGCAGTAGGGACGGCCAGCATGTCCATGGGCAAAATTCAAGCCTGACAGTCTTTTTGTGAGGAAGTCCTGGCCACGTCTCTGCTGCCCGTTAGAAGCGATGACGCTGCAACGAACAGCGCGCCCATAGTGCAGCAGGACTGCGTGCACTTGGCTGGAGTCCGAGGAGTTTTATTTCTTTTGGAACATGTTTTCACCATCTGGCAGACCTGCGGCTGCCAAGCAATGCGACTACAGTGAAGCTTGCAGGCCCCTTGAATTGGTTCGGGTGCCCGATCATGAAGCACGACCCACCCTCGCTTGCCGCCATGCTCTTCAGAGGACACATTGGCCGCGGTTGCAGCCGTGGATACTGTGGCTGGGCAGGACAGCGCGGGCTATACGCAGCTCTCCTCGACCCATTGCAGCTACAGTTGATAACCAACAGGCCACTGGCTTCTAGTATGAGGCCTTGTCATGGGACATGAGTAAATGACATGTTATGTGGATGTTGGATGGCTTAGGGAGGCACTATGGGTGCGGGTACACTGGGAGGTTGAATAGGGTGTAGAAGGTGTGCTCAAGCGAGCAGCTAGCTGGCTGTCCAATAACAATACTCAGATCAGTTAGATAGCTGTGCTCTTTTTTTTCCAGGCCAGTGTCTGAGAGCTTGCGGGAAGTATCTCGTCGAGAAGGTCCGCACCCAAGGATGAAATGCCGCGGGTTGCTAGTCTTGCAGGATCTGTCTCAGCTGGCCTGGCCAGATGTGAAGGCCAGGCTCTGGAGGGGTCGGATGAGGTGCGCACAGAAATGACCAGAAAAAGTTGCACGGTTTTGTAAAAGATTTCTGCCCAGGGGTACGATTTGGGGCGCAGTCCTGCAGGGGGGCTTAGATCAGACAGCTCTCCACGGACACTGTTGAGGGTGGATGCTTGCACCCCTTCACAGCAGGCCGTGGGCAGATGCCTGCACCCGACCAACAAGTCCATTGATGCACCGCGGCGAGAGGTGTGCGTGCGAGCTGGGGACGGAAACCGACATGCCACGCAGCATTTGAGGGTGCATGGTCCACGTTTTTTGCGCAAGTGCCCGGCCACTGCATTGAGCATGTTCGTGAAACATGATGATGACCGCGCTTCTGCTCGATCACGGCTGCGTCCCACGGCTGCCAAATGGCAAACATACCTGCCAACCACATTCACGACTGCATACCAAGCACACCCGCTCGACTAAGCAAGTTCAGAACTGGACACATGTTTGCCGAATGATGAGCACACCACACCCGCTGCACTGCACCCACCCACACCCTTACCCACCCACCCACCCGTCCACCCACGCACGCACGCCCCTGCCAAATGGTCAGCACCCCTCTATCCAACTTGCCAAGTAAAAACCGCAAACCGGACTTCATTACATTTTTCAGTTCAAGACAAAGCATGGGTTTTCGCAGTCGAGGAAACAGGTTGCTGGCCCAACATTGCCAACTGGTTTTTGGTCTGTTGGCATTTTCAAGCATGTGTCCCACGGTCCGGTGAGGTTTAAAGAGAGGCCAGGCATTTAGGTTTTCAGACCTTCCAAGAATTCGGTTTGCCTCGCCTTGATTGCAGCGGTGCTGTCCTGACATTTGGGACCTTGGTGTTTGTGGGGCCAAATGGACACCAGCCATTTGGGGCCTCTCCCCCCACTTTCCAAAGCACGCACCACACCTAGTCGGCATGTTGCTACGGAGCAACCTTTCAGCTTCCCCCCAGTTGGTGGTTTGGAATGGCGCTTCGGTGGTTTCCCAGTTCCCCTCTAAAACAACCAGGGGTCCAGATCCGAATCCAAACCACCAAGTAGGGGAAAGCGGAATTCAGACCAAACGTCCGAGTTAAAAAATGCAAGTGAATCCCTTCTCCCTATTAGTAAACCTTCCCCCCAAATTGAATAAATGGGTGTGGGTCAAAATGAAATCACTAGTGGACCTTTGGTTTTAGTCCTGGTTTACATTTGCCAGGGTTCCATTTCGGGTACCGTTTTTGCCCCACACCCAAATTTCCCCCCGAGAGCCCAAAACATGCGACAGCCCCGAGGCCTGCTGCGACAGCGCGGTGGCGCGGCTCCACAGAACCGCAGAGTTGCGCCCTGGGCTGCTGCGGTCGCCCCGCAGCGCTGACAGCCTGCGGCGCCTCGGCTTGCGTTGCGGGAGCCAGAGCCATGTGTGCGCGCGCGTGTGTTTTTTTTGGTTGAGGGTGCCCATTGAAAACTATGCAAGTCAAATGGGCCATATGTTGATACCCAAATTGGTTGGAGGGGGGGAGCCAAATAGAAGTGAACGGGGTACCCAGTACCCTCAAAAGGCTCGCCCCCCTCTTAGTTTCCAGTTTTAGGTCGAGTTGGCTCAGTTAGTGCCGGATCAGTTGGTGTTGGACGGTGTTGGTTTACTTGGTCAGATTTAGCTTCTTCTCATATTTGGAGACTGCAATGTTGACATGTGGCTGTGTCTTTTTGGAGGGTGCCCTTTTTGAGCTTATGCAAAACCAAAGTTGGACGCCGCCACTTATCTTTAGGCACACCCATATGTGTGTCTCTCCTTTTTTTTGTGTTGGTACATTTTTTCAGACTTATTTTCTGTGCCTGGCCATTTTGGGGGCACCCTAAAAAAGGGGGCACCCTAAAACAGGTAGCATATGGGTATGTCTCAAAATGGGAGTCGCGCCAAAGCCAGGCCCAACACCCTGAGTTGGTGGTTAAGCCAGCCCGCTGCTTTGGTTTCCCAACCTCACAAAAAAGCCAGGGCTTGCCAAGATACCCCCAGCGTCCGGAAGGCCATGGTGGGCCAACCTGGCCCCCCCGGTGGCGGCGACGCTCGGAGAAAGCACCGCCTCTTCTTTGGCTTTCAGGGGTCCAGGGATGTTTTCCGCCCTTCCTCTGAGGGTGCCCATGGTTGTTATTTGAAACCAGCATGACCCACACATCGGGTTCCCCTGCTTTGAGACAAACCCAAATAATTCCCAGATAGCCCATGAAAATATCGGCATATGCTTGAAGGCCCAGAAAAAAAAGGCACGCGCAAGGCCAACCAGCGGCCTTCTTAGTCGCTATTACCTGTTGGGACTGCGGCCCCAATTTGGGGGGCCCTTGGCAACCATAGGGCCATAGGGCGATAGGATTCTTGGCTTGTTTGCTTGGCTTGTTTGCTTGGCTTGTTTGCTTGGCTTGTTTGCTTGGCTTGTTTGCTTGGTTTGTTTGCTGGACTTGTTTTTTTTGCTTGCTTGCCCGGTGTGTTGTCCGTGTCTCCGTGTCTTCGTGTCCTTGCGTCTTTGTGCCTTGCTGTCTCTATATCTCCGTGTCAGTGTGTCTCTCTGCTTATCTGTTTTCCTGTTTGTCTGTTTGTCTGTCCGTTCGTCCGTCCGTCCGTCTGTCTGTCTGTCTGTTTGTTTGCTTGTTTGTCTGTCTGTCTGTTTGTTTCGCTTGGTCGGTTTTTGCTTGCTTGGTGTGCTTCCCGGCGCGTACTCTTCGCTCGTGTTCACTAGATCCGGCCCGAGGCCACGCTGAAAGCCCCGGGCAACGTGAGGGATCCCGGTTTTGGCGCACGGGGAACATGCCTTGTATCAGCTAACTCTTGGGTGGTGGTTTGGGATTTCAAGCCCTGGATCTTGCACCCTCCCCTTAACCATCACACCACCCATCCAAACCAAGAATTGAAGGGAAGCTGAATTTACGGAAGGTACACCGCAAGGTCTTGTTTTGTTCACGGCATGGCTGGCGCTCAAAGAGGCAGTCATAGGTTGGTTGAAAATAGATTCCGCTTCCCCAACAGCTGAAAGGTATGGGGTCTCTGCCGGCAGCTTTCCGGAGGGTTCCAGGGATTCCTGGCGCTGTTGGGGACACTGGGCTTATTTTTCCAGTGGCCATTCCGGTGGTTTTTACCAGTTTTTCCCAGATGCCCATCCCCTTTGTGACATCTCAGCAGGTCTGGGAACAGCCCAAGTTCTCGATGTGTCCTTTCCACAGGTCCCAGGTGGCCGCTTTTTCCTTACCGAGGTGGTACAGGCAGAAGGGCGCCGACGCTGCGCGTGGCAGGCCCTGGGCCGGCACCGCAGTGCTGTTGATCGGCCAGGCCGCGAAGACGCGCGTGGGGTCGAGCGCTGTGTGTGCGCGTGTTCGTGCAAAAGGGGCGGGGATGTTTGAGTTGGATGGTTTCCTTTCCCCTGCGAAATTGCCCCAAGAAAGGTACTGTCAACAGATGGTGTGGAATAGAAGGGAAACCCGGGCAGGTGTGAAATCCAAAGGTCATTTCGGGGGTGACACCGGGCCCGCTTGGAGGTTCCTGTGATCCCCTTCAGGAGGTGACTTGTCAGGTGCCGGTATTTTTTGATATGAGGAATTTCTTTTGTTTGTTGGGCTAGCATGGGGAGAGGCATGGCAGTGGAGAGAGGCAGGTACAATAGGTGTTTTTGTACTTGGCTCCCCAAAAGCCAAAGCAGGATCTTCTTTTTGCGCCTTCGGTTACTGAGGAGCGCCATTAAGTTCATAGCTTTCTTATGAGGCTGGGGGGCAATAGAAAACACAGAGAGTGATACGCATCGCCGGAGTTCTCTCTTCGAGGTTTGCGACATGAGGGGCAGGCGGCCAAAAGACACTTCTTGCTCGAAGAAGTGAAATGCAACCATGAGGCGAATCCTTTGGCCGGGCACACAGGTCGAGCAACCTATGCCGGCTTGAAGCCGGGCCCCCGGGACAAAGATCACTCCACATCCCTGTGCAGTTGGGATACAACTTGAGAAGCCTTGACGTTCTACCAACGCGGGTGAGATGAGGTAAGGCTGATTTCCTGGGTGTGAGAGGACCATCTGACATGGCAGAGTCAGGCAGGCCATTCAAGATGTTTTGCAAGTTCTTCACTGGTCTTGGAACGTGTTTTGGTTTTTGTGTGCTTGATGGCATTTTATTTTTGGGTGTTGGGCTGGGCCGAAGAACAAAGCTTCTTGCATTTTTGAGAGGGGTTGGTCTTGCTACCCAGGTTGCCCTGACATGGTGCCTTGGATTGGTGGTTTTGAGTTTTGCACCCCTTCCTTTTGGGTTTCCCCGGAACACCTCGAAACCGCCGGGCTCCAAAGCCAGGTGCGGGACGGGATGCGGAGCCACGTGGTCGAGAACCTCCGCAGGCTCGTCTTCCAGGCGCGAGCAAAGAAAACAATAAACGGAGAGAAGTCACGGGAGTTTCCCAAGTGTGTCGCCACACGCGAGACGCCCTTCTGCTCTTTTACCAACTTTTGGGTTTTCTTTGTTCCGTTTTTTGCCAGCAAAAGTGGGACTTGTTCGGGGCCTAAGTGTGGCGAAGAACGGCAGGCCCCCTTTTGATGGCCATGTTCCCTGCAAATTTTGAAAGGATCGATTCCTATTTTGAGAACCACCCAAAAGTGCGATGCTCATTTGGGCCTGCCTCAAAAAAGGGGAATTATTTTTGGGTAAATTTTAGGTGGGGGTCAAAGGAAACTAAGCACCTATATGTGCGAACCCCTGCTCTTCAATATTAGCCTGGGATGAATCAACAAATGTGTATTGCGGAATCTGGGCTAACTAGAAGGCGATTCATCCTCTAGGGACAGATGAGGATTATACATACCTGAAAGGCTAACAAAGATTAAAGGAATAGGGGGCATATGTTCGGTGATGTATATACTATCACTTAAGTAGAATGCATATATTAGATGAATTATCTTTTATTTGTTCACAAATATAAACATATTCTACATGCACGTTCGGGGTACACATTCGCTTCCTATCCGAGCAGGAGCTGGGCACGGACTACCATATCTTCGCCGTCCTTGAGTACACGAGGCACTCGGGAACCCGCAGTGAAATCCCATGGATTCCAGACATGTAGAACCCCGGATCTGAGTAGAACCTCTTGATTTTGATTGGGGTCCCTTTGTCCCCTTTCTGTGGCTCGGGCCCCTGAATACAATAGGACGAGCTTGCAAAATATGGCACAATTACTTGGAGGTGTGTGAGGTTTTGACTAGTTCAGTGCTGAGTATCTGCACCTTTTGCCCGTCGTCGAGTTGTTTTCTGCTGCATTTTTTTGAACTCTTCTGAAACGGGGGTCACCGGATGTGCAAAATGTGAGATAGCCAATATGCATTTGTTCGAGCCAGGTATGGCTTTAGCTGGCGCGGCAAGCGCAACTACACCAGGGATTATAGCCATCAGCAGGTGCAGCAGCTGCTCCAGCAGTACACAGGCGCCGCTCCTCGAATCTCTCGGGTGGGTTTTCCAAGCCGTAGGCTTCAACGGGAGACATTTGGACTTTGATTTGTGTCTTTTGAGGAGGGAAACAGGAAGGAAAACCCATATTTTGAGGGTCCCCTGAAAAGAATGCACATCCATGAAGGTGTGAAGATTCGGGGAAGTTCGGCTTTGAAGCATGCCCTTCTGGCAGGTCTGGCAGGTCTGGCGCCTCATTTGTCAGTTCCCAAGGCCCACATGGCTGTTTTTTGCGGATAGGGATTTCGCCGTCAGAGGGCCAACAATTAGTGGGACCCCACTCGAAGGACGCACCTGTGTTGAGTATAAAACGTGGAGCCAGGACCAATTGTGGATGTTGCGTAGCATAAGCATGGATAGCCACTGGAGGCTTTTGCTAGTCCCATAGGCTGGCCAGTGCAGCCCGAAACTGACACCACCAAACTCCACCCGAAAAAAAAAAAAAAAAAAAAAAAAAAAAAAAAAAAAAAAAAAAAAAAAAAAAAAAAAAAAAAAAAAAAAAAACAAAATAACATAAAAAAACATAAAAAAAAAAAAAGCAAAAAACTGAAGAAGCCGACGAGCCCTCAAGACGGATCAATCCAACAGTCCGAAAGCACAAAGCGCGCCAAGTCTCAATCGACTCCGGATGGTGCTGCTCTGTGTGCCCCGGAGTTCCATACCGGTTTTCAAGAGAGTTCCCTTAATCCCACTAACATGGCGCATGGCGCCTGACTACAGGAGGAAAGCATTTTTGTTTTCAGGAACCACCCACAAGTGCTATGTTGGTGGGTGGCAGGGTTTCACTATGAACACCAGCGGGAGCATTCTCCCGAGGCTCATCTCGCCAAGATACACGGACTTGCAAGCCCTTTATGGGCCATCGGGCGAGTGTTTTCCCGATGTAGCTTCCAAAGAAGTCGTTTGCACAGGGTTCCTGCCTACTTCATGGCAGACCTAACACCAGTGGTTCATTCCCCCCAACAGGAGTCTACCCTGTAGTAAAAAAGTGGGACCCTGCCGTGTGCCTGTGTGCAGGCAACTACACCTTGGTGGAGTGGACCGAAGCGGACAAGAAGTCGGAGAAGGCGATCCTTTTCAACCAGAGCTGCACCAACGCGCACTGGGGAGGCCTGGGCCAGCTCCATTCAGGGTTCCCGTTTTGGGTTCGCCTTTTGGGCTGTTTGAAGGAAAGCCAAGATGGAATGTACACGTGGTAGGTGCTTGTATATGGTGTAGATACATATTTTAAAAGGGAACGCAAAAGGCAACTGGATATGTCCAGCCATGGGATGGATGTTTTCTATTGATATGCTGATATGCCTATGTATCAACATAGGCATGCAAATTGACCCTCACATCGATGCACGCGCACACGTAGAGAGACACACACACAGACAGACACAGAGACACAGAGACACAGAGACACAGAGACACAGAGACACAGAGACACAGAGACACAGAGACACAGAGACACAGAGACACAGAGACACAGAGACAGAGAAACAGAGAAACAGAGACAGAGACACAGACACACACACACATACACAGACACACAGACACCCACACACGCAGAGACACACAGAGACACACACATATAGACACACACACAGACAAACCACACACACACAGACACACACAGAGACACACAGACACAGACACACAGACACACAGACACACAGACACACAGACACACAGACACACAGACACACACACACACAGAGAGACGGACGCACACACACACGCACGCACGCACGCACGCACGCACGCACGCACGCACGCACGCACGCACGCACGCACGCACGCACACACACACACACACACACACACACACAAACAAACAAACAAACAAACAAACAAACAAACAAACAAACAAACAAACAAACAAACAAACAAACAAACAAACAAACAAACAAACAAACAAACAAACAAACAAACAAACAAACAAACAAACAAACAAACAAACAAACAAACAAACAAACAAACAAACAAACAAACAAACAAACAAACAAACAAACAAACAAACAAACAAACAAACAAACAAACAAACA